ATTTTGGATTTTGAAATCTCACTACCGCCAATACCAGAGTTTGAAAATAAAAGTTGAAATTTTATATTCTCATTTTGGAATTTCAAATCTCACTACTGCAAAAACCTCTAGTTTGAAAGTATTTACATTTTCTAATTTCGAAAAAAAGGCATTTAATAATCTGAAAAGTGTAAAGAAAATGTACAAAAACTAGCTTTTTAAACCTTCAATACCATTTTCTTTTTAAAAAAACATGAAATTTTCGCTCAAAAAGAAGGCATTTTATACAAACACGCATAGGATAGGGTCGGGTCGGTACTCTCCCCGCGTCACTAAGAAAAGCACATTGGGCCGTCGGTGATGTCAGAAACCAAATTTACCTGAGTTCACCGTGATTTCTAGCGGCATTTTTCATAGAAATCCTGACTGCTGCATGTTCTACCGCGAAGGAGTCTCCTGCCCTCCTTCAGTCTCCACAGATCAGAAACTATTTACAATGCTGTATGGAGTACTTAGGTATTGTCACTACTACTGTGTACTAGGCACTTTTAATTTGTACTGTAAATTAGTAATGTTTAGAGTACTGAGGTAGTCTAACTTCTCCTGTGTAATATGCACTTTTAATGTGTACTTTGAACTGATATTGTTTATTGGGTTTTTAGGTGCTGTCACTTTTCTTTAAACTATGTACTTATAATGTGTACTTTTAAGTGCTTTTCATGGAGTATATTAAGTATACTTAAGTACTGGCACTTATTCTTTGCTATTTACTTTCAATGTTTACTGTTAACTTGAGTACTAAGAACTTGAGTACTAAGGTATCATTACTTCTTTTTGTTAACTATGTACTTTTACTATGAACTGTTAACTTATATTGTATGGAATACTTTTTTTGTATACTATATATTTTCTATGTGTACTGTTACTTTCTATTGTATGGAGCACATATGTACTGTCACTTCTTTTGTGAACTATGTACTTATAATGTGTACTGTGACTAATGTATTTTCGATTGTTCGTTGTACTATTTAATTTAATATAATGTACTGTTAACTTCTATCGTTTGGAGTGCTTAGGTATTCTAACTTCTTTTGCGTACTTGTACTTTAATTTTTACTCTGTGAACTCTAATGCGTATTTTTTTGTGTACTAGGTATATGTTCTCCTAAATGTGTACTTCTCTTGAGTACTGTGTACATCTAATGTGTACTTTGTTCTTTATGTATGTTCTTAAACTATAAATACTGTGGATTTTATACATGTAATGTGTTCCTTGAACATCTACTGTATAGTTCTAATTGTGTACTGTATAGTGTACTGTGTACTTCTAGTTGGTGAAGAGAATGTGATGTGTGATGTACCATTGATTGTACCCATTACTCCCAGTGTTACAGCTTTAAACATCACTATACCTTGTCATACGATTAAATCGTAAGTATTGTTTAATTATCTCAGGTTAAAGATACTATAGATGGGTAGGCATGGCAGTATTTAGCTAGGGAATCGTTGGACCATGAAGGTTATGCAGTGCATTACATAAATGTCCAGACGTTCAGTAATCTTGGAGGGCGATTTACTTTTCTAACGTTTTCTCTATAGTTTGAGATATAGGGTAGCCCATAACTGTCGAACTTGTTGCCAGTAAAGGATTTGAAAAGTCTAAAACATAAGACCCAGCAAGTGTGCAACGTACACCGTATAACTGGTAAAATTTGCTTCAACAAGATAAAGTACTTCCAATTCCACGGCTTTATGGGTCTTTTGGTGCTTTGAAGAAATTTTAATATTTGGATATCAATCATCGTTTCAAACTGTGCGAGCCGTAAATTTAGGAAATTGATATATATTTTTATTTTGTTAGCATCTCTCTAAATCTCTCCACATTTATTCTGTAGCTTTGCTATATATACAGGGTTACCCACAAAGAGCGTGACTTAAAAGACGACATTAGGAAATTTATATTTTCTCTTAAATTTCTAGTTCCCTGTAGCTGCACACTTTTTTTCTATCTTTGCCAGATCTTCAACTACACTTTTTCAGAACCTTTTTGCGTCTAAAAGTCTAAATTCATACTGACGATCGTCAATTTTCAGTCTTAGGTCGTCAATAATGCCTCATCCTTTGTGGGTAACCCTGTATATCTAAGCTGAGAACTCACAGAGTATGAATTTATTTCAGATTATACATTTAGAACTCACAGAGTATGAATTTATTTCAGATTATACACTTAGAACTCGCAAGTCGCAAAGTATGAATTTATTTCAGATTCTTCACTCAGAACTCACAGACTATGAATTGATTTCAGATTCTTCACTCAGAACTCACAGATTATGTTTGATTTCAGATTCTTCACTCAGAACTAACAAATTATGAATTGATTTCAGATTCTACACTTGGGACCCGTTGCAGGGGATAAATACTGATCTTGTAATGCTGGTTATAGATGGGGTTCTTCTATTCGCGTTGTTAGGTAAATTTAATATTTTTGCTGATTTATGTTAGTTTATTGTGTTACAACCACAGACTTGATATTTAAATCAACTCATATCACAAAACCTCGATTTCGAGAGGAAGTGGGGTTCATGCAATACGCATACTGCAGGGTTTGTTTTTAATAAATAAATACTAAATGATCTGAGAGAAAGATATTTCCCCCTAAAATTTAAACAAAAAATAGAAAACAAACGAAGAACTAGAAAAATAACTTGTTTTTAAGAACACGTAACCAAACGACCCCAATATTTTTAAAATTGTACAGTTTTAACCAACTTGCCTGTTGTACTCAGTACACTGATTTGCTATCAATATCTACTCTAATGGTTACATATAGTTCTGAAAACGCCTGCATTGCATGCTTGGCATGGATAATAATACAAAAATAAAATAAAATAATAAAAGATATTACAAATGTTGTATATATATATATCTGTTTAATTGAATAGTTCTGATTGAGACCAGATTATTGCCAAGATTAATTGAAAAGATTAAGGTGAGACAACAAAAATTTCCTTAGCTGATATTGACTGTCTGAATAGTTCTATTCTTGTGTTGTTTCTAAAATATCTAATACATTTGCAGAGAAAGAAAAGGGCGTGAATGTTTAAATAATAAAAATGGCAATCAAGTTAAAATATTTAAACAAAATTCACTGTTGTCACAAGGTCTGACAAGAATTTTTTAATACATTTTTATTGTAAATTAATAATTTGCAGGGCATGAGCATAGTTTCCGGATGTTGGTACAAGATACCGGAAACAAGTTATCTATTGGACGATGACGTTTTGGACGAACAGGTGAAATGTATTTTCAAATTTTGAATTTCTAATATTTAAAACTTTTTTAGGAATTGTACTAATCCGTAGTTTTAGTTTTTTTTAATTTTGATATTTGACTGATTATCTTAAGATTAGGATCACATGTTGTAGACAAGTGATATTTTAATCAAAAGTTCCGATAAAATTAACTTTTGTAAAATAGGTGGATATTATTCTGGCTATGGATTTTTCTTTGGTCTAAAAAACGACTTAAGAAATTGAAGAAGACATTTGAAAGAAGAAACTTTTAAAATTTTAATTGAAATCTACTCATTAGTTGAAAGGTTTATATTATTTAAAAACTCAACTCAGAGATGCTGAAATAAAATACAAAATTTTTGTACTAGAATTTAAAAGAAAATTGCAATATTTTTTGTAATAGAGATATGCACATTGTACACTGTACAGTGTACACCGTAGGTTTGGTTTCCATTGAGGACATTTTCACATCATTTTCAAGAAATTTTATTTTATTTTTTCTTATTCAATCTCAATTTTTCATTTTCATTTTCAGGAAAGAGTTTGTAAACTTCGTGGAGAAGACTTGATGACCGTGATCAATCTTCAGAAAAAATTTAGAAAGTAGGATTTTAAAATTATAAACCCTTGATTTTTTACAATGTTCATCCTTTCTGACTATTCCCTCCATGCAAAGATGCCAATGACCATGCACAACGATACCTTTATCTGATCAATGATATTCTCGTTTTCTAGGTAAAAAAAAGTTTTTATTCTGAAAATTCCTGTAAAATTCCGTCTTTTTTATAAATAAATTTTGTAATTAGGCGATGAAAATTTATCGCATTTTCATATCTCAATAATTAAACCTAATTATTTTTATTTACAAACATAAAAAATATCTTAAATACTGAGATATTTAAGATATTAAATATTGCGGAGATTTAAATCTCATTTCTGGTAAATTACCTTGAATCCCCGAGAACAAGATTTAGGTGATTTTTCTTTTAAAAAATAGTTTTGCAGCTTCTTTCCCAAGAGCAAAAAACAGGCCTTTGCTAATTCGCTTTTTCACACCAAACTATATATATATATATATATATTATATATGCCTTTACCTTTAATCGCTTTTTCATACCAAACTATATATATATATATATTATAGATACAGAGCGTCCCATATCATATTAGATTATCTCCAAGCTTTAACGACAAAAAAAACACATAATAATCAAAAACCTAGCATTTTCTGCAAAAAAAATATTAGCCTTATTTAACTTTTCAAATTGATTCATTTTTCTTAAATTTTCTGAATAATCCTTAAAATCGTAATTGAGACCCATTGACGATCTAATATGATGTATTTAATCAAATATTTTTTATTTTATTTTTTATAGTAATTTCGTTATTCAGGCTTCATGCCGTCCAGGGGTTGAGTTTTGGAATTCGCCAGGGAGAATGCTTTGGACTTTTAGGTATTTTTGAAGTCTTAAAGTTTGTTTTTGAACGAAAAGGAATTGAGTCTTTGCCTCAAACTATGATTTTCTAATCCCAATATCTTTATAACTCAATGTCGTTAATCGACGATAAAATAATCGGATAAAATAATCGGAGTTTGAAATACCAAAGGTTTACAGCATCAGCTTATAAAGATATAGGAATAAGACAATTTGTGGCAACGACTCAATTCCTTTCGATAAAGGAAATGAATCTTTGCCAAACACTTTCTAGTCTTTACAACGTAATGTTGTAAACCTTTGATATTTCAAATTTAGATTTTTTTATATAACAACAAATTCATTATCTAAATTGTCGAAGGTCTGCGACATGTGCGACGTGCGTTGCAATGCTGCAGGAATTACAAAATCTGAGTTTTTGGCAAAGACTGAATTCCATCTATTCCAATGCACTAAAATTTACTTTCAATCAAGAAAAAAATGGGAAAGAATATTGTTTTACTCATTAAAGTAATTTTAACGTTGACTCGACTCGCACTATTTTGAAAATTTTACAAAATATCTTTAAAATCGCCGAAAATAAGTGAGTTTGGTTAATAACAAAAATTACGTTTACAATTATTGTCTGAATTCACAAATTAACAAATTATTAATTGTTAATTTGATATAAGTTTAAATTAAAGGTTTTTAATATTTTAACTTTGTATATACTATAGATAGATTAAAAACAAGCAGATTAAAAAAATTAAATAAATTATTTTTAATTCCAGGAATTAACGGGGCAGGAAAAACGACGACATTTCGTATGCTAACCGGTGACGAGGCCCCAACTGAAGGTAAAGTTTCATCGTCGTATATATCAATAAAATCAAATCTCATAAATGTGTAATCCGGTAGATTTAAAATGATCCAAGATCAACACTTATTCAGCAATTATACAACGTAAAAACGTGTTGTGGGTTTTAAATGAATCCTAAAAAATGTCTCTACTATCCTGCACTCTCGACCCAACTACCATGCTTTTTTAGAAAGCAAAACTTAAAAACTTAATTTATTGAAGAAAAAAAATTCATTTATTTTGAGGTTTACTTAAATATATATCCGACATTTAAATTTATCCCAAAATTGTAGCGTGTAACCGTACTTAGCATTTCAACAATTTGACCAATACATCCTATTTTGAGACGTTTTATATTCAGCAGTTTTCGGGGTCACATTGTACTTTCAGTATCATATCAATTTACATCGTAATTCTTAGGTCTGGCAATGCTCATGGGAACAAGTTCTACTGATAGAAGCAAATTTCTCAGGCAAAATATGTTCTTGAATGAATAAATAAATCAAAAAATGCTTGGCCGGGTATTAAAATATCCGTCTTTAAACACTAAGTTTAGAAACGTTAAAATCGTAATTATTCCTTGAAAGCAAATAAGTAACAAGCAAAAAACGGGTTTTTAAGAAAGATGTTTTTTAAGACATCAGTTTTTAAACATAAAGAAAACAATTACAGAAAATTGAAAAACTAACAAAATGATGGTATGAAACGGTTTAAAACTAACAAAATGATGGCATTAAACGGTTCAAAACTAATCAAAATTATGGTATAAAACGGTTCAAAACTAACAAAATGATGGTATAAAACGGTTCAAAACTAACAAAATTATGGTATAAAACGGTTCAAAACTAACAAAATGATGGCATAAAACGGTTCAAAACTAACAAAATGATGGTATAAAACGGTTCAAAACTAACAAAANTTCTATTATCCCGGAACTGACCGGAAGTAGAACATAATTGTTTGATTAGAAATATTGGATACTGTCCCCAGTTTGATTCTATTATCCCGGAACTGACCGGAAGTAGAACATAATTGTTTGATTAGAAATATTGGATACTGTCCCCAGTTTGATTCTATTATCCCGGAACTGACCGGAAGTAGAACATAATTGTTTGATTAGAAATATTGGATACTGTCCCCAGTTTGATTCTATTATCCCGGAACTGACCGGAAGTAGAACATAATTGTTTGATTAGAAATATTGGATACTGTCCCCAGTTTGATTCTATTATCCCGGAACTGACCGGAAGTAGAACATAATTGTTTGATTAGAAATATTGGATACTGTCCCCAGTTTGATTCTATTATCCCGGAACTGACCGGAAGTAGAACATAATTGTTTGATTAGAAATATTGGATACTGTCCCCAGTTTGATTCTATTATCCCGGAACTGACCGGAAGTAGAACATAATTGTTTGATTAGAAATATTGGATACTGTCCCCAGTTTGATTCTATTATCCCGGAACTGACCGGAAGTAGAACATAATTGTTTGATTAGAAATATTGGATACTGTCCCCAGTTTGATTCTATTATCCCGGAACTGACCGGAAGTAGAACATAATTGTTTGATTAGAAATATTGGATACTGTCCCCAGTTTGATTCTATTATCCCGGAACTGACCGGAAGAGAGCTTCTCACCCTAATGTGTAGGGTAGGTGTACTTTTTATTCTTAAAGTAACCGTTGACGTCATTTTCCAGCTAAAAACTGGCATGTCAGATTCAAACCCGTACCCCTTAGCCCTCTCTCTGAGTTGTAATGAGAAAAATAATGTTTTTTTTTCCAACTTAAAAAGTGTTGAATAATTCCTTCATTGTCTCCGAAAATTTCACTCTTTTGAGAAACCACAACTGAACATTTTCAATTCTCAGCTAGAGATACAGGGTGTCCCACGAAACATGACAGTTGGTGAATAGTTTAAAATGTCTTCTTCCCTAATTTTGTTGTTTGATACCAAAGCTAGACAATAATAAAAAATATTATATGGGAGTCGTGGTTACAGTAAAATTGATTTCAAATTAAAATGTATTCAAGCAAATGATTTTTTTTAACGAAATAAACTACAAATATCTAATACAGTATATGGAAGACGACATTTTTTACTATTTATCAATTGGATCATGTTTCGTGGGACACCCTGTATGTCAAATTTTCTAAACAGAAACATCATTCAGCAGTTATAAATAAATCATTGGATGATTATTGAATGATAATCTCATATACCAACATATGTAATTCATAAAAACTTTATATATACAAATATACATATACTAGCTTGGGAACCCAGCGCTGCCCAGATTACTGAACCTTGGCAGAGCTATTCCCATTCCATCCCATTTTACAGGGAAACTAAATTTTCGCTATAAAAGTTGACCCACTCAATTTAGAATCTTAAAACCAAGCTAAGAACATTCTCGTGACGCGAGTTCCCCAATCAAAGTTTGACGCAAATCGGTCCAGGGATTCCTAAGTTATGATTGGACAAACAAACAAACAACAGACAGACAAACAGAGATTACAACTTTAGATACATATAAATTATTTTTTTTTGTTTAAATCCAATAAACTTAAAAACGACCAAACCGATAGAGACAACATTTTTGAGACAGATAAAAGCAGCTAGTAATCAAATATTTTTTAATATCAAAACTTATAAAGGTAAAAAAAATGGTAAATCTAAATAAATGTCTAATTCATAGATACGAGGAGTACCCTCCGAATCTACGAAGGCGGAAGTTCAGCGATGGACGGACTTTTTGGGAATTCAAGAATATATAAACAGGTTTTATAATGATGATAATGATGATAATTATGAAAATGATGATAAGGATGATAATGATGATAATGATGATAATGATGATAATGATGATAATGATGATAATGATGATAATGATGATAATGATGATAATGATGATAATGATGATAATGATGATAATGATGATAATGATGATAATGATGATAATGATGATAATGATGATAATGATGATTAAGGGAGTCTGGAAGCTATAGTGGTGGAAACAAAAGAAAGTTGAATGTAGCAATGTCACTGGTTGGAGAACCACCAATTATATTCCTAGATGAACCAAGTACAGGGGTTGATCCTGTTGCAAGAAGGAATCTTTGGAATATCATCCAGGTATAATGGCTGGCCAGTGGCCGGACACTAAACAGGTGACGTACAGTAGACAGTGGACGTACAGTAGACAGTGGACGTACAGTAGACACTGGACAGTAGACACTGGATAGTAGACACTGGACAGTAGACACTGGACAGTAGACACTGGACAGTAGACACTGGACAGTAGACACTGGACAGTAGACACTGGAGAGTAGACACTGGACAGTAGACACTGGAGAGTAGACACTGGACAGTAGACACTGGACAGTAGACACTGGACAGTAGACACTGGACAGTAGACACTGAACAGTAGACACTGGACAGCAGACACTAGACAGCAGACACTGGACAGCAGACACTGGACAGTAGACACTGGACAGTAGACACTGGATAGCAGACACTAGACAGTAGACACTGGACAGCAGACACTGGACAGAAGACACTGGACAGTAGACACTGGACAGTACAAACTGGACAGTACACACTGGACAGTACACAATGGACAGCAGACACTGGACAGTAGACACTAGACATAAGACACTGGACAGTAGACACTGGACAGTAGACACTGGACAGTAGACACTGGACAGCAGACACTGGACAGCAGACACTGAACAGCAGACACTGGACAGTAGACACTGAACAGTAGACACTGGACAGCAGACACTAGAGTGTAGACACTGGACAGTAGACACTGAACAGTAGACACTGAACAGTAGACATTGGACAGCAGACACTAGACAGCAGTGACTGGACAGTAGACACTGGACAGTAGACACTGTACAGTAGACAATGGACAGTAGACACTGGACAGTAGACACTGAACAGTAGACACTTAACACTAGACACTGGACAGCAGACACTAGACAGCAGACACTGGACAGTAGACACTGGACAGTAGACACTGTACAGTAGACACTGGACAGTAGACACTGGACAGCAGACACTAGACAGCAAACACTCCCCCCTCCTGTAATCTTATAAAAAGAAATTTCCCCCACCCCTTTATTGCTAAAAAGCTCTATTTACCGCCCTAACCTTGCTCAAATTAGAGTTTCTTTAACCTTTAAGTTAAACATATATTGTTAATGTTTTGAAATATATATTACATATTATTATTATGTAGGATTCAGATCATAAAACTTTATCTAATCAAGGATAAGTGAGATATCCCTTTATCTAATCAAGGATAAGTGAGATATCCCTTTATCTAATCAAGGATAAATGGGATATCCCTTTATCTAATCAAGGATGAATGGGATATCCCTTTATCTAATCAAGGATAAATGTGATATCCCTTAATCTAATCAAGGATGAATGAGATGATATCCCTTTATCTAATCAAAGATAAATGAGATATCCCTTTATCTAATCAAGGATGAATGTGATATCCCTTTATCTAATCAAAGATAAATGAGATGATATCTCTTTATCTAATCAAGGATGAATGAGATGATATCTCTTTATCTAATCAAGGATGAATGAGATATCCCTTTATCTAATCAAGGATGAATGAGATATCCCTTTATCTAATCAAGGATGAATGAGATATCCCTTTGTAGAATCGGAAATGCCTCTCTTTAAATGAATGGTCAATTTTAATTACGTGTACAGTCCCTTTATGGAACAAATATTTAAAGTTACATTTAAAATTTTATTGATTTTTCAGGGAATTCAAGCAAATGGTCAGGCAGTAGTACTCACTTCTCATAGGTATAAGCATAATTGATTAATATTTTGATCAATCAATGCCATAGTTTTCATGAAAACATAAGTATAATTGATTAATATTTTGATCAATCAATGCCACAAATGTTCATGAAAACATCTCATAGGTATAATTCTAATTGATTATTATTATGATCAATTGAAATGCCACGAATTATCATGAAAACATCTTATAGGTATAAGTATAATTGATATTTAGTTCTGGTCTAATTTTTAAAGTAAAAGTTATTTAAATTCTCTAGTTCCTTTCTTCCTAGTTATATTCTACAGTATTAAAAATATACGCTGTTCAGTTGAAACTTTAAGAACCATTGAACAACTATTTGTCCGTAAAAATTATCTAGAACTGAAAATTGCGAATTTTCTAATTAAAATTTTGCAAATTTTCTGACATTCTTTAATTCAATCTTTTTACAATTTTAGATTTCGATAGAAACAATTTATTTGCACATTTTTGTTTTTCTGACCTTTTGATTTTGAGAGAAAAAAAGGTTTGCGGATTTTTTTTGGGCCATTGAAGTACCAAAAAAATACAAATGTTCAAAAAATATTGTAAAAACCATACAGGAGAGTTGCACAAAAAAGGTACAATTTTGCACCAGGCGCCGAAAATCACACATCTTTTTTACTCACCCTGTTTAAGGATTAGAAAATTTGAGTTTGTAACAAAAACTCAATTCCATCTTTAATCTTTTTTTTATTTATCAGCATGGAAGAATGTGAGGCGTTGTGTGACCGTTTAGGGATAATGGTCAACGGTCAATTTCAATGTTTTGGAACAGGTATAAAGGTCATTATATTAATTCAATGGAGACTACTTTTAATCATTTTTTCCCTTTACTCTTTAATCCCTTACAAGCATTTTTAATATTAAAGTTAATTAAGAGAATCTGTTAATTGACAACTTCTCTTTGTTTAAATATTTAAATGTTCCTTCTGATTGAAAGCTTGGTTTATAGAAATCAAAATTATCTATAAAATGTATCTATATAAACGACGACAACTGCATTACAACTAAATTGAATTAAATAAATTGAATAAATTAAACAAAATAAATAAAATTAAATAAAAAATCATATTTTTCAAGTTAATCACCTGAAGAATAAGTTTGCCCAAGGATTTACTCTGTTAATCAAGCTCACACTTGCAGGTAATTAATATAGTGAACTTTTAGTTTTAATTAAAAACAACTAGGAGATTAGTGAAATTAACTTGGAGCGAATCAAAACAAACCCTAAAAACGTAACATTTTGGCGCAATTGTAGTTTGACACTAAACTTAATAAAACAAAACAGGGTTCATGTATCCATTGGCAGTAAAATTCACAAGTCGGTACGGTACGCTACGGTACGCTACAATGGTACGGTACGGTACAGTACGGTATGGTACGGCTTTTTAAATATTCAAGGTTTTTGGGCTTTTAGGAGGCTCCAGTAAAATCTACGTATTCTTACAGAATTTAAAATAAATTTTTCTATTAGTTTGCTTTTCTAAAATTAACGATAAAGCATGAATGAGATATGCATCATTTTCCTGGAAAATTGAGTCTTTCTCAATTTTGGTTTCTGAATAAACCTTTTAATAAGCATTTCTTGCTCCAAAAATACTCGGTGAAAATTGCTAGAATTGAACACTTTCAAGTTAGAAACACGTCCATATCTCTCACATGCTTAATCAGATAAAGGTTTACAGGGTGTCGTTGTGAATTGGCCCTTTTTAAATTCAAGATCGCCTAAAAACTATAACGGCAGTGCCTTGCACATTATCCAAAATATCAATATTTATCCTTGAAAACGAACGCTTTTTTAGAGGAGGATATTGCTGATTTGGTGGAAGAAGAAATTATCAAAAAAGTTAGACTTGCTTTTGTCAGTGCTTCCCTCAAAGACAGACATAGAGTAAGTATCAAATTTCAAGCATAAAGATTGAGTTAGATATAAACTACAGTGATAACCAGAAAACTATGAAATATGAAGACGACTTTTAGAATCAAGTTATAGCTTATAGTTATAGTCTAATGAGCATGAGACACAGCAATTGGGATGTGTAAACAATAACACACCCATTTCACTAAATTAGTGATATAATAAGTGTCTATAAGTAAAACTATTTTGCTTTGTAACAGCAAATGCACTTCAATATTGCTATAATGAAATCTTCCTCTTCTATTGTTTTCTGGTTATCACTGCAGTAAAAACTTGTGACTAACAGTCGTCTTAGATCACAATGTAGAAAACCCACAGTTAACTGCAGGTATAATATAGACTTGAACAGTAAATGGCCTAGATTGAATTGAATATTGACGCATGTTTGCACAAAACTATATTTACAGGTTAAACTATACAAACTATGTTGATCAAATGATAAATTAGATCTTATTCAACACGACATTCGCCTCCAGCGGCAAATGTATATTCCATGGAATCTCTCTTGTTCGATGCTTGATGATAACTAACTGATATGGGGGATCCAATATGGCGGATTATGTTCCTTTCCTTCCTCGGGTTAAAATATGCAATTATTCCCCTCTCCTGCTCCGGTACTCACCTACTAGCTCTGTCGTATATGCTTTACTTATTTAATGAAAATAAATCTAAAAGATCGTCTTCTTCTAACCCGATTATATTCCTATTAAATTTGCATAATTTGGTTCAGATTTAAGTTTGGTTCAGTGGTAGAATTCGCTCGTAAAACTAACGCGTTATAGACAAAATATAAATATGTAAACTATCATCCAATATTCTCTCACTTAAGGCTAG